TGTCGGCACCCACGGAGGCTAGAAAAGTGACACTGTGTTTCCTGAACTGGCATTACAGACCACTGTAGGCTGTAGGGAACCCAACTCGGGCCCTTTGCAAGAGCAGCCAGTGTTCTTCATCAATGAGCTGTTTCTCCAGCCCCTGGGAGATTCTTCGTCACTACTACTCACTGCTTAAAACCTTTTTATTTATTTTATTTGAAGAACATGAGTGTTTCCCCCATGTGTGTCCAGTTCCTGCATAGGTAGAAGAGGGTGTCAAACCTCTGGAGTTGGAGTTACAGACAGATATGAGCTGCCATGTGGGGGCTGGAAACTGAACCTGGGTCCTCTAGCACGTGGGCTTAACCACTGAGCCATCTCTCTAGCTCTTGCTGCTGCTGCTTCCTCTTCCTCCTCCTCTTCCTCCTTTCCTTCCCTGTGGCCCTGGAGATATGATATCCAGAGCTGTGTACGCTAGGCAAGCGCTCACCATTGAGACATCGCCTCGGCCCTCATTGCTTCTTCTAAATAGTTTAGATTGCTTGTATCATCTTGATTTATTTATTTTTTTTGTTTCTCTGTAGCTTTGAAGCCTGTCCTGGAACTAGCTCTTGTAGACCAGGGTGGCTTCAAACTCACAGAGATTCTCCTGCCTCAGCCTCCTGAATGTTGGGATTAAAGGCATGTGCCATCACCGCCTGAGTTTGACTTAATTTTTTACAGATAATATGTGTCTAGAAATTTATTTTGTCCCAGCTTTAAAATTTATTGGTATATAAAATTTCTAATTGTTGAAACATTTCACCCCCTCCGTGTGTGTGTGTGTGTGTGTGTGTGTGTGTGTGTGTGTGTGTGCTTGTGCCCATGCATGCCTATGGCATGATTGTCAGGATGTGGAGTCAGAGGACAACTTTAGGAAGTTGGTTCTCTTTCCAGAACCATGTAGGGTCTGAGGATTGAACTCAGGTCATCAAACTTGGCAACAAGTGTCCTTAGCTTCTAAACCATCTTCCTGGCACCCAACACTATCTCTTAAAGACCCTCCAGATTTCACCGGTATCTGCTATAATGTCTCTGTTTTAATCTTCAATTATATTTTTAATAAAATAACTTACTTATTATTGTGTGTTCAGGATGAGCCATGGCATGCTTGTGGAGGTCGCAGGACAATGTCTCCTTTAACCTTCACGTGGGTTCCTGGATTAAACTCAGGTCACCCTGTTTCTCCACCTGCCGAGGCATCTCAATGGCCCTCTAATCAGAGCCTCCTCTTTCTCTCTCTTGGCTAACTTGGCAGTCTGTCAACCTTGTTTATCTTTTCTTTTTATGTGTGTGCACATTTGTGTCTGTAAACACCGTGGTGTGTGTGTGGAGGTCAGAGGGCAACTTTGTGAGTTTCACCTTTCACTTCGTTTGAGACAGGATGTCTGTTGTTTTTCTACTGCGTACACTAGAGGAGGTGGCCCCCAGTTTCTGGGGTTCCCGTCTGCCTCCCATCTCTGTAGGACTACTGCATACACAAGAGAAGGTGGCCCCCAGTTTCTGGGGTTCCCGTCTGCCTCCCATCTCTCTGCAGGAGTGCTGGGGGTATGGAGGCCAAAGCTATGCATTCAGCATTTACATAGGTTCTCGGGATTTGAACTCAGGTCCTCACACTTGTGTGGCAAGTGAACCCCTCCCCAGCCCTCTTGTTTAACTTTTCAAAGAACCAACTCTGTGTCTGAATTAATTTTTTGTCTTGTTCTTTTAGTTTCTTTATAATTTTTTCTGTCAATTTGAGTTTGGCTGATTCTCGTGTTTCTTAGACCCTGCCACACATCGTTAGGTTATTCCTTCGGAACCACTCTGATTTGTGAATGCAGGCTCTCTAAATGATGACCATCTCTCTTAGAACTACCTTAACTGTCTTACAAAGGCTCTGCTAAGGTACATTTTCATTTGATTCTAGGGTTAAAACTTGTTCTTCCTTGATTTCTTCAATGACCAGCTGACCATCGAAGAGTGCACTGTTCCCTTCTCATGTGTAGGATGATGTCTCTTGCTGTTGACTGTAGGGATCCTGGGAAGCCCTGAGTGGGTGAAGTCCTGAGTGAACGCACATTGTCGGCATGGACACAGCTACACCAAGGACCGAGGCTTCAGACCCATGGGAAACTGGCGAAGCCTTTCCCCATATTGGCAAGGCTCAGAATTGGCAAAGCCTGCTTCCTCTGGTCCAAGTGCAAGTGTTTAAATTGATCAATGTGTGCAAAAACTAGCAAGTGCAGCTCCTTTCTGCTGGATGTTTACAGCCTGAGCCTGCAGGCTCTCAGAGAAGAGCTCTCTAGCAAGCCCCTGCCTGGTGCGTACCCCAAACACAATGGTAGTTGTGGTTCAATTAGAGCACACACCTCACTTGACCCCAGCTTTTCTGTGTGTCTGCTCCTTCTTCGTTCCCTTCACACCATAGTCAGGGACCAGGACAAAGCTGCACGGGACATGGGAATTGATTGTTTCTTTTATTTTCATTTTCTGTGTTTGTGTGTGTGTGTGCAAACACAGGTGTGTACAGGGGCATGAGTATGTACATGCCTGTGGAGGTCAGAGGTCACCCTCTGGTGTCTCAGGGGTTGGCTCTCGATGGTCTGAGACAGTCTGAAGCTTGTGTTTCACTGTGCTAAGCTTGTGTTGGGTTTTCACAGTCTTGCTGCTTTGTAGTTCACTGAACTTCCAGATCAGTCCGTAGGTTGACATCTTCCTTTCAGTTATCATCTTTTCAAAACATCTTTCTTTCCCTGTCATATCTTCTGGGACTGCGCTCAAGTGTGCGCTTGCTCGGTTATGTTTACTTCCACTCCCTTTCTCCCTGTGCCTGACTCGCTTGCTTCCTGTTGATCTGTCACTAACCCTCCTGTTGCATATCCCGTGTGCTCTTGAGCATGTCTACATCAGCCCTTTATTGCAGACACTGTGATCTGGTCTAGAATGTCTCGTTTATCTTTAGGAGTTCCATTTGAGGAGGACACATGTATTGATGATACATGGCAATTCTCAGGGAATCATAGCTCCTGCTATTCATGTCCTGTGGTCCTTTCCCACAACGATCTTGGATCATCTGCCTTGCTGGGGCCAACAGGACTTTAGCAAATGCAGCAGATCTGATAAATACAATCTATTGGGGCATAGTCTCTTGGACCCAGCCACTGTGGGAAGAGGCAAAGGAAGAGGATGCAGTCACGTGGGAGACTCACGTGGGAATACCAGAAGAACTGCTCCACCATGCAGTGGCTATTTTATTATACTAAATGAGTGGCCCCTTTAAAACGTGTTAGATTATTATTATTAAGGAAAGGCTTGTCTCAAACTGGTCTCAAATTCTTGGTGATCCTCCACCCTTTCTATCTCCCAAGTGCTGGAATTGCAGTCACGAGCCTCTACTCTCAACTATTTGGTTTTTGAAATAGGTTGCTGTATAGTCTAGGCTGGCCTTGACCTCCCGACTCTCTTGCTAACACTCCCCAGCTGCTGACTACAGATGTGCACCCTGTGCCTGGTTTGGTGCATTAGTTTAGACTCTATCCTTTCACCCATCTTATCAATCTTATTCTCATTTCCTAAATATACTTACAGTAGTTCCTTTGATGTTGTCTGCTACTTCCAGAAAGTGTGCCTGAAATCGACGTCTGTTTAGTTATTTATATTATTATTATGGATCTCTTTTGCTTCCTTTGTGCCTGTCTTATAAATGTCTGTATTCACACAATATAATTTTTATGCTGTGCTGGGGGCCTTATGCTAGGAAATCACTCTTACACTAAACTATATCCCCACATCTTATAATTTTTAGGTTGTGCGTGTGTTATAAACGGCACCTGTGCTGGTTCGTTTTATGTCAGTTTGACACAGCTAGAGTCCTCTGGGACCTCAACTGAGAAAATGCTTTCATAAGATCTCTCTGTAGGGCATTTTATCAATTAGTGATCAATGAGGGAGAGCCCAGCCCATCATGGGTGGCACCATCCCTGGCCTGCTGGCCTTGGGATGTATAAGAAACAGGCTGAACAAGCCAGTAAGCAGTACCCCTCTATGGCCTCTGCATCAGCTCCTACCTCTAGGTCCTTTCCCTGCCTGAGTTCTTGTCCCGACTTCCTTTGGGGATGAACCGTGATGTGGAAGTATAATGGAATAAACCCTTTCTTCCCCAACTTGCTTTTTGGTCAAGGTGTCTCATCACAGCAATAGACAGCATTTAGAACACTGTACAGACAGACACATCTTCCCTTCGCTGATGGCTGTACAGACACATCTTCCCTTCGCTGATGGCTGTTAGTTTCTCCTATTAGGCAGCTGAAATGCTTGTTAATACACCTTTGCATATCAAGGTGATGGAGTACTCTTGTGTCTTATGCAAGGAAGGTCTCAGAATTTCTTTCTTTCTTTCTTTTTTTTTTTTTTTTTGGTTTTTTCGAGACAGGGTTTCTCTGTGGCTTTGGAGCCTATCCTGGAACTAGCTCTGTAGACCAGGCTGATCTCAAACTCACAAAGATCCGCCTGCCTCTGCCTCCCGAGTGCTGGGATTAAAGGTGTGCGCCACCACCGCCCGGCTTCAGAATTTCAAATTAATGATTTTGAGGTCACAGAGGTTAACAATATCAAAGGTCATTTGTATGAGGGCAGTGGGATTACTGAGAACGGATGGAGTCAACCTCTGAAAATGATCGCACCTTACGCCTTCTGCCTAAATAGTTCTAGAAATAACAAATGCACACAAGCACATCTCTGTTAGTTGCCTAGTGGCTGTGTGATCCTATGCCTCATGGATTTGAAAACATTCCACCATTCACCCATGAGAGACAGAGATGCCACATTTTTATTATGATGGCGGTTATTATAGTTTTGACTTCCTAAACCTGAAAATCGCTAGTCTAGGCGAGCAGGTTACACAGGGGTGGCCGGATGCATTTATTGACTGAGCACAAGAACCCATGAGCTCAACCTAGGACAACTTTGCAAACTGCATTCTCCAGTCTTCAGGGTACTTAAAACATCCACGGCTTTGGCTTCGGCTGGTACTTGGGCTTCACACAGCACATCCTCCCATTTGTGCAGTAGACGTAGACACTCTCCTTCCTGGAGCACCGATGGCGACACTTGCCACGGAGGTTCCAGCATCTCTGAGCATCACCTGGTAGAAAGAGGAGTGAAAGGAGGTCATGGAAGTCCTAAGGAGAGGGTGGCTCTGGACTGGAGGAGCTGACACAGGTGGGAAAAGACCCTCCGCTTTCCCTTTGACCCCTCTTACCTACTGTTGTTTTTCTGACCCCATTTCCCCCCTACCTTCTTTGACTGTGAATCTGGACTAAATGACAAATGACTTGAAAATCTGCTTTTAAAGTACTGTTGTAGTCAGCCTGGGTTACATGAAACTCTGTCTAAAAAAAAAACAAAAAAAAACCACAAACCAAGAAAGAAACAGAGTTCTGATAGTCACAAGAGGAGACAGCTACACTGGTTGGCCCAAAGAAGGGGAACAGATAGAAATGATGTCCAACCGCAGGCTGTGTGGCGTGACATTGTTTGCTGCCTGACACAACAAAGGCCCACACCCATTTCTCCATGAAGCGCCAGTTCCTCTTTGACCTACAGATGTCTTGGTGTCCCTGGGAGGAATGACATCTTTAAGGTCCATTTGAATCACGGGTTTCCTTCCGACAAGTCTGACTGAGGCCCAGACATGGAGAAGGGAAAGGGAAGCCTTTGGAGGGGAGGCTCGGAGTTCCAGCTCCTACATCCTCAGCAACAGCCTTGCCCTCTCTGGGTGTTTCCTTAGAGCACAGAAGGAGGACAACATTTCCAGCTGTCACCAAGGAAAGAAACGACAACAAATGCCTGCAGGAACGTGAGAGAAGAGGAACTCCTGTTCACGGCTGGTAGGAGGGAGAACCTGCGCAGCCACTGTGGATATCAGTATAGAGGTTCCTCAGCAGGCTGAAACTAGCATGGCCATAGAACCCACTTGTAACGTTCCTGAATATGCTCAGGGCTTTTACAGTAGTCTGTGCTATCAGAGATACTCGCACATCTGTGTCTATGGCTGCACCATTCACTATAGCCAAGATATGGAATCAGTCTAGATGTCCGCCCACGGATGAATAAAGCAAACGAGGTCCATGTGCACAGGGGATTGGACTCAGCTATAAGTGGAATGAAATCATGATTATTTTTTAGGAAAATAGATGGAGCTGAAAATTATGATGTTATATATAGCTCAGAAACATTGCCTCTTTTATGTATAGAATCCAGATTTAAATGTATATATGCACATATGCACACATGCACACTATAAAAGTATTAAAAGTAAACATGTACATATGCATGCTGTGGAAGTATTAAATGTGCACATGCATGTATGCACAAATGTATACATGCACACATGCATGCCATGAAGGTAGAAAGGGGACTGTGAAAGGAGAAGATGTCTAGAGATGGGAACGTGGAGCAGAGAGGGTAATATAGACACGAAAGCAGAAGGAAGGACTGTGTGGGGAGGAAGGGAAGTATCCAGAGGGCAGAGGGGAAAGTGGGGCATAAAGTGGAAGGAGAGACTCAAAATATGATATAGATGCATGGAAGTGCCGCAGTGAGACCCATGCATGGAAGTGCCACAGTGAGACCCATTCACGGACGTGCCGCAGTGAGACCCATGTAGACCCATGCGTGGAAGTGCTGCAGTCAGACCCATGCGTGGAAGTGCTGCAGTGAGACCCATGCACAGAAGTGCTGCAGTGAGACCCATGCAGACCCATGCATGGAAGTGCCTCAGTGAGAAGGTTAATAAAAAATTTAAAAAGAGTAACAGCAGCTATTTTAATCAGCATTAAAAACTTCAGATGGGGACAAGAGGAGCGAGAAAAGAGGAGAGAAACAAAACAAAACAAACAAATCCACATGCCCACACTGCGCAGATCTCCAGCAGGAACCCTCCTGTCTTTGAACGCTCATCTGAATACACACGTGAGGAAACTATCAAAGTCTGGGGAACTGTCCTCAGGACAGTGAATGCCCTTTGTGTTCACCCATCAAAGCCAGAAGACTTTATAAAGCTTGTAGCGTTTAAGGGACCAGAGGTTAAGAGCACTTGCTGCTCTGTCAGAGGACCCAGGTTTGGTTCCCAGCACCCACGTGACAGCTCACAGCAAGCTGTAACTTCAGTTCCAGGGGATCCAACAGCCTCCTCAGGTCTCTGCAGACACAAAGGATGCATACGGTGCACAAACATATGTGAGAGTAAAATACACATAAGAGAAAAACAAATACAGAAACTTGGCCAGTACACAGGTATAATTCCAGCACCCAGGAGGTGGAGACGGGAAGACTAGGAGGCAAGTCTCACTCTATCGTGAGTTCTAAGGCAGCCTGGGCTATACAAGACTAAATAACTAAACATTAACTAACTAAATAAATCAGAAAAGTCTTTTTTTAAAAAAAGATAAGTGAACTTGAAGACACAAAACAAACTTTTCAAAATGAAATAGAGAAAGACTAAAGCCTTGCTGACTGTGGACTGCTAACAGCAGGTCAACTTGCCCGTAGTTGAACCACCAAAGGAATAAGAGGGGAGAGACAAGAAGAGTGTGTGAGGAAGAAATAGTGTCTGGAAAATCCCAAGCATGATACAATCACAAGTAGCCAGAACCCTGCTTCCTGATCTGACTCCCAAAAGTTGTCCTTTGGTGTGCATACCTGCCGTGGTACATGCATGCAGCTATGGAAGCCGATGGGGATTATCTGGGGAGTAGGAAGGAGACCAGGAAGGGTGGGGTCAGGGAGAGTAGCGGTGTGTGTGTGTGTGTGTGTGTGTGTGCGCGCACACACGCATGTGTGGGAATATGGGGTGAGTGTGCTGTGGAATGCCGCTCTCTGAAAATACAGCTATTACTCTACTTTCTTCCTTAAGGAAAACAGATTTATTTACTATTTGGCTGAACTGGGCCAGCAAAGACGCCTCCTCTCTCCCTTTCCTGTCTTGATGTTACAATTTCATAGAAAAGGCGAAACAAGAATCTTGGCATCCCCAGTGCTCTGAGATAAGCATTCAGAGCAGCGAGGGATTCTCCAGGGGGGCAACCAATAAGGCTGAAGAAAACAATGAAAAGATGTGGGTGTGGGGTCATGGGATCTCTTCCGGGGGAGTCGGGCTCCACTGGTGGCCCCAGGGCTTCAGCCCAGAGGTTTCTGAGGAAATTAGAATCTTTGGGGTTCGCTGTTGCAGTAGGATCACAGCTGAGGAGAGCCGTATCCTGACCCCCTCCACTCTCCTCTTACGTAGAGGGTGCCTGGCTTTTTATCTTCCCAGGAAATGTCCCTGATCTCTTCTTCAGGTCATAGACCCATGTCCCACAGCAAGAGCCAGCATGTGACAGGCCTGCCAATCATAGCATTCCATCTATCAGGCGGCATAAACAGACTGAGTCCCGGGCCGTCCAGGAACTGACCGTTGGCAAATCAGGTGTGTGGAAGTGACGTCACTGTGAACCTATGCCACTACCATACATACGATGCATTTATTTTATTCTACGTGTATGAGAGTTTTGCCTGCACGTACATATGTGAACTACATTGGTTTAGTAGTACTCAAGGAGGCCAGAAGAGGATGTAGGATTCCCTGAAACTGGAGTAACAAAAGATTGAGAGCTACCATGTGGGTGCTGGGAACCCAACCCAGGCCCTTTGGAAGAGTAGCAAGTGCTCTTAACCACAGAGTCTTTCTCCAGCCCTACCATGGCCAGCTTAGTCAGAGCAGCCATGACTTCCTGCAAGAGACCCTCCAGGCTGGGCCTACTCAAAGTCCCTCATAGAGGGAGGGAATGGGAAGGAAACCAGACTCTCACTTCCGCCTTGCATATTCTCCCAGCTATGTGTAATTCTGCCCCATCTGCGTGTTGGCTCAGGAGCCACTGAGATTGAGCAGGAAGGCTAGCTGAGGCAGGGACTCCATCTATCCAGGTACAGGAACTTTGGGGTCACCTGTGTTCTTGTATGTAACCCTCACTCATGCTCCTATAGCGGAAGCCCAGTAAACTGCTTAGCCCCCTAAGCTGGGCTCGGATGGAATCTAACTTTGGTGTGTCGCTGGTGCCATGTGGAGCGAGTAGCCACTTGTTTGCACCTCCTCGGGAAGTGTTCACACGGTGGGTGAATACGGGCCAAGTGCACCGATGTACACGTGTGACGATGTCAGAGCAAACCCTTTATTCTGTCCTCTAATTGAACAATTTAATTTAAAGAAAAAAAAGTAGTTAGTAAGGGCTGGAGCTGCTGTCCAGAGGGACAGCACTGTTGAGGACCTAGGAGGCCTTGAATATGATTGCCCGGGCAGCAAAGGCAGCTGCCGTAAGACAGACAGTTAAAGGGACATGAGAGCAATGCATTGTGGGTTGATAGCCTGTGTAGCTGTAAGGGCTGGGAGGGAACACCCACTGTTTTAAGATTCCTGTATCCTCTGTGGATTGGCCGCTTAGCATCAGAAGGCAGACCAAGAAGGCATAACCTTAATGTCAACCTTGGAGCCTACTCAGGATAGATGCAGGGACTGGACAAGGGCAGTCTACAACTTCCTGTCACACGGGTATAAACTCACCAGACCCTTTTGTTGAACAAAGGGTCAGAATGCGGAGAAACCCGGTTTTCTGAAACAAAGACCCCACTGACACTTTGTATCTGAAATCCTGTTCCCGAGGATGGAACATCCCACAGTTCTCCCCAAGGAATCAGGTTTCCCAGCCCAGACAAACAGCTTTGATATCCATTAGGTGCCAAGGAGGTGCCGAGGGGCAGATGAGACAAATTCTCCCCCTCGCTCTCCCTTTCTCCTTTTCTCACGCTCTATTTTATTTTGGGGGAGGGGGAGGACAGGGATGATGACCTGTACTGTCTCGCCTCCCAAGTGCTGGAATAGTGAGGCATGGGTCAGCCTGGGTCTGAATGTCAGCCCTTTACAAACCGCTTGTGGTCCAGCCTCGATTGGGAGCCTCCCCAGCACCATTTATGCTACGCTTAAGCCCCACCCTTCTTCTCTTCCTCCGTGCCCAGCGGTTTTCAACCTACCTAATGCTGCCACACCCTTTATACAGTTCCTCACGTTGTACATGAAATGCTTGTTCCACACGATTATTTCATTGCTACTTCATAACTGTGATTTTGCTCCTGCCGTAACAAATAATGTACGTGCCTATGTGCGGCCCGAAGGAGTCGAGAACCTACAGGTTAAGAGTGTTTGTCACTGGGTAAGGTGTTGCCAACCCCACCGACCCTTGGGGATGCAGTGTCCTTCGCAGCAGGGAAGAGTGGTGATATTACAGGACTGTGGGGGGAGGGTCTTCTTAAAGACAGACTGACATTACACAAGCAACTAGGATATTTAGAATAAAGCTTACAAATCAAAGAGCCCACCCCCGATGAGGATGGGACAATTTGAGGTCACTAAGAATAGTGTGGTGGCAGCCCTCAGGAGGCAGAGGCAGGCAGCTCTCTGTGAACCTGAGGGCAGCCTGGGGCTACTGAGTGAATCCCAGGGATACACATCAGAGGGATACTATGAATTCTACCCTGAGTGCAATTGGCAAATCCTCACTGTGGGAGGAAACCGGCCAGTGACCAGCTATTTCAGGAGAACTTGTAAAGACAGAGCCGTGAAGGTCAGGGAACTATTAAAAGGCATATTTTAACAATAGATGCCTGCGAGCTGGGGCCACACAGCGAGATCCGGTCTCAACAATCAAAAACAAACAAAAAGGTGTCTTGGGATGTCACCTTGGCAATGAGTGTTTCATGAAGAAATGAAAAAAAAAATTGGTCGCTGTACAAGTCAGGACCCTTAGGGGAGGAAGGGAGCTATGGTGGGGTGTGTGGGAAGGGCTTGGGGGGCTCAGCTGACTGAGCTGTGTGGTGCCACAAGGACCTGTCCTTGGCTGCATTTGCTGGGCAGCGTGTTTGCTTTCTGTACCCGTGATTCTGCCTTGTTTCACAACAAAGATAAGGAAAACCCAGCATTTGAGCTCTCATTTTTAAAAAAGATTTGTTTTTATTTTATGTGTGTAAATGTTTTTGTCTGCATGTGTGTGTGCCACATCTGTATAACAGCTGCGGCCAGAAGAGGTGTCAAACCTCGGGACCTGGAGCTGCAAATGGCTGTGAGCTGCCTCGAGACCTCAGTTTTTAATTCAAGCATGTCAAGATGAACCACCGTGTGTGTGTGTGTGTGTGTGTGTGTGTCTGTGTTTGTGTGTGCGCGCATGCGCATGTGTGTGTTTCATGAATGCAGAGGCTGGAGGAGGACGTGGGGTGTTCTCTATCACTTCCCACCTTGTGACATTGATGTGAGGGCTCTCTGAGTTGGAAATTCCCCCTTTGTCTAGCCTGGCTGGCTAGTTAGTCCCTGGATCTGTCTGTCTCTACCTCCTAGCACTGGGGCTATGTGCAGCCCCGTCTGGCTCTTTATGTGGGAGCTGTGGATTCAAACTCAGGTCCCTTTGCTTGCACAGGAAGTGTTCTTCCTCACGGAAGCATCCCTCTAGCCCTTAAGCATTTAAAAATTACACTTATTTATTTATTTATTGCTCTCTTGCGAGCACACACCGAGGACAACTTGCGGGAGCCAGTCCTCTCCTACCGCGAGGGGCTTGGCGCTGAAGCTCTCCTTGTCAGTCTTGGCAGCAAGTGCCTTGACCCGATGAGTCATCTCACTGATTCTGTTTCATACACTTTTGAGTGGTGTACATTTCAGCCCCCTTTCATCCCGAGACCCTTTGACTGTTACGAAGTAGAACTGAGTACAATCTCTGTCCTGTGGGGCACTGGGGAACAATGGTTAGGATGCCAGTTGTCAGCTTAAATGAGTTGTTTCAGGTCATAGCAAGGCCATACTTTCAAGAAGCAAAATTTACCAAGAAAAGTCCAGGACTAGGTAAAGCCTGGTGGGTTTGCACAAAGTCACCTGACTGTGAGCTATCGGAGACAAAGGCCGAGGGCTACCAAAGTATGAGGCTTCCACGCAAGGCCTCTCACCTGCTGTGACTACACACACAATGTCATCACGGTCATTGGAGAAACATGCAAACGGCCCTCTGAACACTGGTGAGGGTCACAGGCAGACAGTGGTGAGCCACTTGCCAACTTGGGCGCTTGGCTTTTCTTTCTCCCTTAGTGAAGGGTGTTTCAGGGTCACAGGAGGAAACTGAGGTCAGCTTGTTTAGAAAAATAGTATGCTCTGATTCTGGAAAGTTCGACAGTCCTGGGGTGAACAGAAGCTCTGACAAGTGAATGGAGGGGGCATGTAGCTGGTGCATGTATATGTGTGTGTGGGGGGGGGGTTGGAAGGATAGGGGTGACCTTCTCCAGCTAAACTCTCCCATGATGCTCACCTGGCCTTCTAGGCAACTTCAGGCTGCTTCCTCTCCTGCTCCCATCACTCACCCCTGCCTTAGCACTGGGTCCCCACAGGCCGCATGCTCCCCCCACCCAGGGATGCTACTTATGCTTATCCCACACCTTTCCCTCCCCACCTCTTCCCGTCCCTCACCTAATTTCACGTCACTTCCCAGGACTCTGCTGACCTCAGGCCCTACTCACGTGTGCCCAGTTCCCTGGCTTCCCTTTGTCATAGCTTTGGGAACAATACTGTTTAACTGTGTCTGAGAGCCATGCCCTTTTCCTCCATAATCCTGGCTCCGGCACAAAGTACGGTACAGAGAGGGGGGAGCTGCACACACAAGCTTCTGGCCATGGCAGCGGCTTTTACTAAGCCTAGAACATTCGGGGGACTGCTTTACAAGAGATCAGTTGTTGCCTTCTCTTTGGCTGCTTCTGACCCCACACTAGCCCTTTGCCCCGCCTGGTAGAACCGAGTGAGCATGGCGTGGGTGATGAATGAGATAGATACTCAGGATGTTGTCGCTGGTACCTAAGATCAGGCACCTGGCAAGGGGCCTGGGAATGGTGATGGCTCCGAGACCCTAGGCAGCTGGTCCTCCTTGCCCCTGGGTGTTCGCTGACAAGGCCAGGGTCTCCCTGCCCGGCCCCTTCCCTGAGGAGATCTGCATTACCTGGAATGAGCTGGGACAGGAGCAGCAGGGTTGCCAAGGTCAGCAGCAGGAGCTTCATGGTGGTGAAGCTTCGAGTTCAAAGTGGTGGCAAAGTCAGTGGCCAGCCGGGGAGGCCGAGACTCTCTGGCGGAAGTCCCTTGGATCGCCAGAAGCAGCCCACAGGAACAGCCCTGTATCCCGGGTCTACAGTGTGGAGCCACACCCACAGAGTCCACAGCATCCCTTTGTCTTTTGGACCAGGAGGGTGGTGAGGGCAGCTAAGGTCCAAGGCCACACAGCACAAGCCTTCCCCAACCAGCTTTGCACCACCTTATTCAAGGCACCACAAGGGGGCGCCACGCACACGAATGCCATTAGTGGCTACCAAAGACACTGGCAGAGAACAGGAAATGGGGTTCCAGGCAGGGCAAAGTCTGGTCAAGGGTAGGTAGATACAAGAGGAACAAACACCGGAGGGTGAAGGAGGGACACCAACTCAATGACAGCATGTGAGGCCGCTCCGAGCAGCAGCCAAGCACAGGGTTGATCTGGGCTCAGGGATGAGCCCCTTCCCTGGGGATTCAGGAAGAGATGTTCTCTGAACTCTGGTCTGGTTTCTTTAGCTCCCTTAGCTGAAGCAAGGTGGCTGCCCCTGTAGTTAGTAATACTCTCTTCAGGGTCCTCATATTCCAACCTTCCAGCAAAAGGAAACAATTCTCGCCATAAACTATCTCTTCCAATTGTTTATGCAAATTCTCCTTGACTGGACCCTCCTGATATAGAGGTTAAGAGAATCAAGGCGCACACAGAGCTTAAAAGTAAGATAGTGACTGAGCCATCCTGAGGGACAGGAAATAGTGGGTGGGCTGCCAGAGATTTACACAAAGGCAAATGAAAGTGTGTGTCAAGTAGTTCTTTCAGGAATGTTTACAAGGAAGAGAATAAGAAGGCCTGGGAAGGGACCCAGTGACCAGCCCTACAACTGGACCACGGTGGCCGGCTGCCTCTTACTTCCTGTGAAGTTTCAGTTGGAGGAGAGTCACTATCGGCTTCACAGAATAAGGAATCTATGGCAAAATTAGTCTCAGCGTAGTCGTTCGAGGATCTGGGAAAGCAAGGACTTGACAAGGAACAGAGGGTGTTAGTTAACTTCCAGGGTAAGGGGCCAAGACTTGAAGCACCCCTAGGACTGCGATGAGGCGGTGCAGGACTCTGGGGAGATTCTTGGCTCCCCTGCTACTGATGTCTGTTTGTGGCAGTCACTGAGAAGTGGTTAGCGGTTAGGAGATGTAGTTCAACTCAAAAGCACAGAAAATATACTTAACAAAATCATAGAAGAAAACTTTCCCAACCTAAATAAAGATATGCCTATGAAGATACAAGAGGCTTACAGAACACCAGACTGGATAAAAAAAAATAGTCCCCTTGCCACATAATAATCAAAACACTAAACATAACACTCCTGTATTGCTGATGGGAATGCAAGCTGGTACAGCCCCTCTGGATATCTCCGAAAATTAGGAAACAACCTTCCTCAAGAGCCAGCAATACCACTTTTGGGTATATATACAAAGGATGCTCAACCGTGCCACAAGGACATGTGCTCAACTATGTTCACAGCAGCATTGTCTGTCATAGCCAGAACCTGGAAACAACCTAAATGCCCCTTGACCGAAGAATGGATAAGGAAAATAATGGAGTACTACATAGCAGAAAAAATAACAACATCTTGAATTTTGCAGGCAAATGGATAGAGCTAGGAAACATCATTTTGAGTGAGGTAACCCAGACTCAGAAAGACAATTATCATATGTACTCACTCATAAGTGATTTTTAAACATAAAGCAAAGAAAACCAGCTTACAAATCACAATCCCAGAGAACCTAGACAACAATGAAGACCCCAAGAGAGACTTACATGGATCTAATCTACATGGGAAGTAGGAAAAGGCAAGATCTCCCAAGTAAATTGGAAGTATGGGGACCTTGGGAGAGGTTGGAGGGGGAGGGGAGAGGCAGGAAGGGGAGCAGAGAAAAATGTAGAGATCAATAAAAATCAATAAAAAACCACAAAAAAGAAATAAAGAGCATTAGACAATTTAAAATTTGAAAGTGTCTGAAGGTAGCCCATTAAAGCCAAGTGTTCTCTCTCTCTTACAATATTCCTTGTTTCTTGCTGAAAGGGAAGATCACTGAGAGGAAGAAGACTATTTCCTCTTCCTCATCCATCCCCGTTCCTGATGCACAGTGCAGAAGGTAGTGGCAACTCATTCATTTGAACAAACCTATGCACAGTATAAGGTTGTTAAGAGCTCTGGCCTCAACCTGCCATCCCTGCGCTCGATGAGTCTCTGGGTCAGCCACACCACTGTAGCCTTGACTTGCAGGAGAATGTAACCACTTGTTATCTCCCCTAGTTCCTCAGGGGGAGCTGATGCAGCTTGTTTCCCAAGCTGTAATCTCAGAATTAACGTATAAAGATGTTTAGCTCTGTGCTTTCCTCCTGCCCTTTATCATGAGAGAGTTGATTGTCCAAGGTCATTGGAAGCCCCTGTGTGGCTCAGAGATGGCTGGGATGTAACATCTCAGGCTTTTGTAGGACAAAGAAAAATCTTGTAAAAGAATTTAATAATATCCAAGCATCTATCCAGTCTACCCAACAGGAATAAACAGGACTTAGGGAGACAAAAGCCTTACAGTGTAGTTCCTGAAGGATTTCAGGACTCAGTTTCTAGAAGGGAGTATGTTGGTTAGTCAGGGCTTAGTGTCAGAAAAGACTAACAGTCCCCAACTCCCACCCTGGTTACTTCAGTTGGACCAGAAAGGTAGGTAATGGTGGCCGATGAAATGAAATGTAGAGACGGGCAGTGATGGTCTCCAGCTGGGCCAGTTCAAGGCCCCAACAAGTTGCAAAGAACAATTGAAGATGGTGGGCTCTTTCTGGTCCAGCTCAATCCAGCTCCAGGGACTGCCTCACTATGAGAGCAGGCCCAGACCGCAGTTACCCTTCTCCCTAGCGAACTTTGCAATTTTAGGGACCTCTTAAGTCTTGTACATATTCTTGAATCATGTGTTTACTTATAACAGACTGATTTTTGGATAAAATGGGCTTCCGGGAAGAGCACACTGGTCCTCTGGAAGTTTCCACCCTGGAGGAGGCACAGAGGAGAAGGTGACAAAAGAGAGACGTAAGCCCCTAGTCTGCCAGGGCCAGCACCATTGCTGTTTGGCTCAGCTGGCCCTTTTCCTAAAGAGTGCATTGTGGCCTCCTCAGCTGAGTTCATGAAACCCCTAGCTGTTTGCTCTACCGCTGTGTCCTGTTTGAATTCTTCTCTTTTGGGAGAACAGGAATGAAGACTGCTTCTGGGGTCTAGAGCAGAGAAAACTCAAGACTGCCTTGTCCTAGCTGTGTTTTATCATAGCTCAGCTATCATAAAAAAAAATGACCGAAAGCAACTTAGGAAGCATTTATTTGGCTTTCAGGTTACAGTTCATTGTTGCAAGATATTTGATTATACTATAAAGTTATATTACTGTGATTGGTTTAATTAAAACCTGAACAGTCAATAGTTAGCTAGGCAGGATTTCCAGGCACAGAAGATGCTGGAAAGAAAGGTGGAGATGCCAGGAGATGCAGTGGAGATGAGTCATGTAGATGAGGTGACAGCCACGAGCCATGTGTCAGTACATAGATGAATGGAAATGGGTTCACTTAAGTTAGAGAAGCTAGTTCCAGACAAGCCTAAGCTATCAGCTGAGCTTTCACAATTGATAAGAAGTCTCTGTATGGTTATTTGGGAACTGGCAAGCAAAACAAAAAAAGACATATGGCATCCAATGTTCAGCCACATATTTCCACATAAAACCCAAGAAAGCTTTTAAAAAGATTCCAAACACACAGAAACAAAGCCAAATGTGGCTTTCTGGTGACTACAGCCTCTCAGACAGGCTCAGTGCTAGCGGCATACAGAGGCATGGCTCTTTTAAGAGGTCCTGCTCATGAGCACTTAGATGGGGTTTATGAGCAGTGGGCGGCAGGCTACTTGGTGGCGGGAGACTAGGTAGAAATGCTGACAGCAGCATGGGCCCAGAAACTTTCCAGGCCTGGGGCGATAAACGTACCTCCTCCATGAAGCTAGGTTCTCAGGGAACTGAGGGAGCAGATCCAGCTGCTAGCACACCATGAGCTAAGCTGCATGGTGGCTTTAAGATTTTGCTCACGCAGACGAAAAGGTTGCAGATATAGAGTAAAGCAGGGTCAGATGGAAAAAAAAACTCTAAACAGGTTACAGTGTGTTTAACAGCATGTATAGGCTTAAGAAAAAAGAGGATATGGACAGTCATAAAAATAATTTAAAAATAATAGTAAAGTCTTTAACGAGAGAAGAAAGGTAATGAACATAAACCACACAGAGATGGGAAATACACAGGAAGTCTGGCTCCTGTATGGCGTTGTATTGACTTTCAAGTTTTTGATTACTGATGAGTGGACAACAGTTGCTGAGAAACACTGGATTATGGAAACTGCTCAATTAAACTAACCTGTACATTTTAAACATGTCTCAACTTCAAAATGGAAAGAAATAACGTATTGCTTTAGAAAAGAGATTATACCTTCATTTCCACAAAAAACAAAAGGCTGTAGATTTGTTCAAGGTTAAAAAGGATCAGGTTTGATCAAGGGAGACCCCCTGAAAATCATGGCTACAAACATAAAGAAATAAACCTGTATTAACTACAAGACAGGTGATGGATATTTCACTTGTTCAAACATAAAGTGAAAAATCATCTTTGGCTGGCTTGGATACCTGTATATATATGGACTGTATGTGTCCATATTTGTGTTAATGTAGATATATATGTTACCTTTGAAAGTTTATGTGTTTTTAGAGCAAGGGGACCAGACACCAAGGAAAATGGATGGCTCAGGTGATCCAGCCTCTCAGAGTGCCTCTGCTGCAGTTTCCTCAGAGTTCTGCAACCAGAACAGTTTCAAGGCTGCTGGCTGAGGTTGTCCAGTCTCACAGACTCTTCTAGCCAGGACTTGACCATTATCCTAATTTTCTCATGGTCCCCCAAAGATGCTAGTGCCTGAAGCAGTCTAGAGAACTTGACACCCACATTTCCAAGAGATGGGGTGGGTTTTGGCCATTTGGTTGGTTATGGTTGTTTGTCATTGTTTAGGGGGGTTGGTTACAAATTGTTATTGGTTATGATCAGAAAAAAGAAAACTGACCAAAGATTAGATTCAGGGATCTCTTTCTGAAGAGAAAAAGGGGGGATATAGTATAAAAATGGTGGGTAAAAGGGTGTATTGTTGAGTCTACTTTTGAACAACCACTGGTTTCAAATATTTTACATTGGTATGAATTTTTGTATTGTTATACTGTATGTATGTTTCTATTCTTAAGATATTGTATCTGTGCAGTTCATTTAACATTGTAATGTAAAGTTTTAGTCCTTGAAAGCTATTTAGGATAATAAATAAATGCAAGTTAGTAGTTAATAATCTGTAATAATCAAACTTGTAGTCATGTTAGATGTGTTTTCAAGGTATATCAGATAGGTATTTAGATAGATAAACAGATAGACAGATAGCCTTCAAGCACTTCAAAGGCCTACAGAATATAGCATTTAAGATGTTTAATAACCCAAGGCTTTTTATGATAGTGAGACATGTCTGCTCCTGGCAGCTCCAATTTACTTTAGAAAGGATGATGGGCATTGAGGAACCTCCAAATGGAGTTTGCTTTCATTGTGACAAAACTATTCATTTGGGAAAAAACTGTCCTTGCCTTGATTACTGACAGAATGCTGTACAAACTGAATAAGCAGGACACAAAGGAAAAAACTGTCAAGCTTTGCCAAGACTAGGCAGGACAGTCCTTCGAAATTCCTGCTTTATAGAAAAGTCTGCCAGATATTCTAAGCTTACAGGCCAAACGATTGAATGCCCCACTGTTGCAGAGGAACCTTGGGTGACTGTTCACGTATTCAGATATCTCTATACTTCTATATTTTTGGAAGTTGTTTGCAATGTACTTCCTGTTTCCTAAAATAATATTTCATTCTTCTGGGGTCTCTAATAAAGTTGAAGACTAGATAGTAATAGTTATACATTTTCTTAGTTATGATGGAAAGTAAATTAGGTACAAAACTTTGGATTCACCAAGATAGGATAAATAATGGAATATTTTCTTTGAATCTGTCAAATACAAATAGATTGGATATTGTAAATGTAACTCTTATCTAATAATTTTTCTTATTGTATATAGTTCCACTATGTTAGAGTTAAAACCTTTTCTTTTTATTTAGACAAAAGGGAGAAATTTCGTGAGCTATTTGATTATACTGTGTAAAAATATGTCACTGTGAATGGTTTAATAAAAAGTTAAACAACTAATAGCTAAGCAGAATTTCCAGGCAAAGAGGATGCTGGGAAGAAGAAGGGTAGAGTTGCTAGGAGACTCGGAAGAAGCAGGTCATGTAGAAGATGAGGCGACAGGCCATGAACCACAGGGCAGCACACAGATTGATGGAAATGAGTTAGTTTAGGTTTCAGGAGCTAGCTAAGAGCAAGCCTGACTTATCAACTGAGCTTTCGTAATTGATAGGAAGTCTCTGTGTGGTTATTTGGAAGCAGGCAGGCGGGACAGAAAAGGACTCCTTACAGTTCATCATTGAGGGAAACCAAGGAAGGAATTCAAGGCGGGGATATGGAGGCAGGAGCTGAGGCAGAGACCATGGAGAATGCTAATTACTGGCTTCTCTCTCTCCCTCTCCCTCTGTCTCTCTCTCTCTCCTTAGCTAGCTTACTCATACAGCCTAGGGATGGTATTGCCCACTGTGGGCTGGGTCCTTCTATGTCAATTAACATTCAAGAACATAACTGGGCAGTGGTGGCACATGCCTTTAATCCCAGCACTTGGGAGGCAGGTGGATCTCTGTGAGTTCAAGGCCAGCCTGGTCTACAAGAGCTAGTCCTGGGACAGGCACCAAGGCTACAGAGATACCTTGTCTCAAAAAAAAAAAAAAAAAACCATTCAAGAACATGACCTACAGACAGGTTCATAGACCAGTCAGATGGTGGCAATTCCTTAATTGAGGTTTTCTCTTCTCAACTGTGTCGAGTTAGCCACACACACCTTGTAACAGGAAGTTCTAAGGCTGAGTGGGGACATCATTAAGATTCTGTGATGCCAACTCCAGGATGAGATCCAAAGTTGCTATCAGCAGTGGCAATGAAGAGCAGTCTGTAATTAAGAAGATTGTAAAGAGACTGAAGATTGGTGATTATGGCTGTGGGATTCTGTAGGCTCTGTAGGTGTAAGCCCAATTAGTTTGCTCCACATTGGTGGCAAAGCCTTAGATTCCTAGTCTTTCATTTTCTGTGTATTTTGAATGTTCAGGGAGCCAGACGACTGAAGGTCGGGTTGAGTTTTACAGGCCCTGGGCTCTAATCTGCTCACCAATGAGGCTGAATTGTAGAGAGAGAATGTGATTCATTCTAAGGCCACACAACTAAGTGGCACATCTGGGACAGTGAGCTGGATAATTTCAGCTCTAGCTTTCTTGGCTTCAACGCCAAAGTTCTTGTGAAAACTGGGCATTTTAGGCAGCGGGAGCCCATTTCTTTGATAGAGAATATCTTGCCACACAGTGGTGGCCAACACCTTTAATCCTAGCACTCGAAGACAGTGGCAGACCAATCTCTGTGAGGGACTAAATGACCAGCTAAAATCTCTTAAAGTGTTTTAAACTAGCTCATCCAAGTTAAGTTAGAATTCCGATAGCCGTGGATAGCTACACTCGATGATGTAGGACTCCAAAGTGTGCATGTGTTTACATGTGTTTGGATTTGAGTGATTGTGTGTGTGAAGCCATCCACCTTGTGTTTTGAGACAGGGGCTCTCATGGCTGGCCAGTGGCAGTGAGCACTAGGGTTCCTGAGTGCCTGCCTCTATTTCCCCAGCACAAGGGTAGTAAGTATGTATCATCCTTTTTTTCATTTATTTTTGGGGGGACAGCTGTGTCACTATGAAGCCTTGGCTGTTCTGGAGCTCCCGAAGTAGACCAGGCTGGCCTCAAGCTCACAGAGATCCACTTGCTTCTGCCTCCTGAGTGCTGGGGTTAAAGGCTTGTGCCACCATACCCTGCTTCTGCCTCTTTTATGTAATTCTGGTGATCATACCCGGGGCCTCATGCTTGCATGGCAAGCGCTTTACCAGAAGAGCTACCAATGTAGGGCTTTGTAGAGCGTGGCAAGAAATGTGGAGTGTCGAGGATTTTTAAATGTATTAACATTTTAAATATAATATTTTAGTTGATTATTTAAAAAAATTTATACACGCATATGATGTATTTGATTGTACCCACCCCTGGTTTCTCTCAGATCCATTTCCCACCTCCCTTCTATTTTTCCAGTTTCATGTCCTTCCTTTGTTTAAAATATATACATTTTATTATTGTATGTCCGTGGGTGTTTTGGTTGCACCTATGCCTGTGTGCCATGTGCATACAGTGCTCACAGAGGCCAAAAAAAAAAAGGCGTGGGATCTGCTGCACCTGGACGGTTGTGGACTGTGATGTGGATTCTAGGAACCCAGGTGGGTTCCTCTGGAAGAGCAGTCAGTGTTCTTAACCACTGAGCCATCTCTCCAGCCCCACTGTTTAAAAAACAACCCAATGAGTCCAATTTGTGCCGCCCGTAGACTCCTGGATGTGCAGCCGTTCACCGGGACACAGTCAATCTAGCAGGTGCCCCGCTCTGAAAGACAACTGATTGCCCCCTCCTCCTGCCCCAGCTGCTATCAACTGGGAACAGCTTCTCATCTAGGGGGAGGGGCTCATAAGTTCCTTTCCCTCCAGAGGAGAGGATTCTGGGTGGAACTGACAGAGACTGACATATACTTATACCCTGACCAGAGGATTTAATCTCGCTGGTTACTGAGCGGATAAAGGGAGTGTCTGCGTAGGAGTGTGTGGTCAGTACTGTGGGTGTAGAGGCCTAGCGACAGGGAAGGCAGCTGGCTCAGGGCAGACTGTGCACACAGGTCTCTGAGGACACGAGTGCCAGCTGGTTACAAGGATCCAGAACTTTCTCCCACTGCCTGGTACCTTTCCAGACAGCCAACACCTCGGATTCCCGAAGCCATGAGGACTGCAGTGTTAGCTATGGCTTTGTTGCTGCTATCCCAGGTCATTCCAGGTAACCTAGAGCCCTTCAGAAGGACAGAGCTGGAGAGTGGGTCTGGCCAGGGTATTTAGGGCCTGAGTGGGTGACCGGATGTCTGGGGCAGTGGGAAGAGTCTCAGATCTTGGGATTAGAACCTGTGAGTCAGGTCGCTCCTCTGTATTTATCTTTTCTCATTTTTGATTTTTACATGATAAATTTGACTAAAAGGTTAAGACTGGACACACTGAAATTTTGGTGTGCAACAAAAGCAGTTTCTTCATTTCCTGTAATTCATCTGAGAGTCCCCAGGAACTTCCATTCTGCTAGTAGAAGTTGGGAGTTAGTCGTCCAGGGATTACCTATAAACCTGGAAGCCAATTTCATCTGTCTCTTATGATTTGTGATACAATTCTGCCTTGGAGAAATGACTAGGCCGCCAGGACTTCTTCAATCCCCCCTTTATTCTGCCCACAATAGCAGATGGATTCAGGAGACAGTGGATGCATCAAGACTCAGTTAAATATGATTTGTTTGTTTGTTTGTTTATTTATTTTGGTTTTTCAAGGCAAGGTTTCTCTGTGTAATTGCCTTAACTGTCCTGGGATTCACTTTGTAGACCAGGCTGGTCTTGAACCCACAGAGATTAGACTAATTGTTCTAAGCCGCATGCTAAATCTGTTGCTGCCATCCTTCCTATCACAGTCCAAGCTCCTAGTCTCGGGCAGTGTGAGAGTCTTTGATCTTTCTGATAGAGCCCTACTTGTCCTCGATAGCGTCTTTCTGTCTCTGGTGTCACAGAATGCTTGCTTCACGCTTGTTTTGTAATTTCCTGATCAACACTAGTTTCCATGCTTCCAATTTCCAAGAATTGGATACTAATTTCTACTGGCTGCTCAATGTCTCTAAGCTTTGCAGTGTCCATAAATGGGGGGAAATTTATTAAAAACAAACACCCATGAATTCCTACTGATATTTCAGATTCGGATTCAAATTTACAACCTACCTCTATATTCCTTCCCCCCCCCCCCCTGCAGTGGTGGGGATGGAACCCAGGGCCCCGTGGGTGGATGCATGCTGCCACTGAGTCACGCACCTGACCTGCTGGGAAAGAGGGACTATACCCTACTTCCTTATTTCACTCTCTCTTACCACAAACACCTCTGCGGTAACATGTCCTCAAGCCATTGACAACTTCTGCTCAGGTTCTCAGTAAACTTCCGTCTTCTTATCGTGCTGTATGGCTCTTCCATCAGAACACACAGCCCCTGAGTCTTTTATGCACTCATTTTATTTTATTTTTTTATTTTTATTTTTTAAATATTTATTTATTTATTATGTATACAATATTCTGTCTGTGTTTATGCCTTCAGGCCAGAAGAGGGCACCAGACCTCATTACAGATGGTTGTGAGCCACCATGTGGTTGCTGGGAATTGAACTCAGGACTCTTGGAAGAGCAGGCAATGCTCTTAACCTCTGAGCCATCTCTCCAGCCCTACTCATTTTATTTTTATATTTTTGTTGTTCATACTGGGTAGGCACTCTGCCACTGAGCTCCGGTGGCCTGACTTTAACTTGTCATTTGGTTTGCGTTTCTACAAGGCACTGCGTATTTAACAGTTAATCCTGTGTGTGATTTACTGGTCTGGAACTCTTGCCCCATCAGAGGCTGTAGGAAAGGCAGTGTTTGTTCAGCTTCAGATGTGAACAGTTCCTTGCTGGCCTTTGTCCTTGGAAGGCACGAGTATCTTAAATACATGACACCAACCTTGATTCTAGCATAAAGCATTATCATCAATAAGTTTTAGTCTAGCCCTGCCCTCGCGTGCACAGGTGTGTGTGTGTGTGTGTGTGTGTGTGTGTGTGTGCAGCCCGATTGCCCAAAACATTTTTGTTTTCTTTTTGTGTCATATCCAGTGATGTTGCAACAATCACCCTGTTTTGGTTCGACTCTCTCAGGCACACTCTACGCCCTTTTGGCATGCCTCTCAAGTACTTCTCCATTGGAGGAGATGTTATTGAACATTGCTTGATGTGTTTGTTGTGTCTCCTTCTTCGTTTTACTTAGGAAAATTCGACACACTTGGGTATGTTGAATATTTTATCAATGGCTGGCCCTTTCCATTGATTCTTCTTGTTCGATTTTCTTTCTAGTGTCTGATGGTCTAGCGGTTAGGATCCATTCTTCCTTGTTTTTTATTAAAATACTTTATATTTTTTGAGAATTTCATGCGCAAGTATTTTATGTAATTTCCATCTCTTTTCTCCTCGTCCCAACTCCCACTGTGTCCCCAACACTCCATCTTGAATTTATGACCTCTTCATATGTATACATATATATATATTCTACTGGATGTGGTCATTCATACAATACTGCTCATATGTATGCACTTAGAAATGACCATTTGGGGTAACTTATCAGGGAGCTCATCCCTGGAGAAAACCAATTGTCCCCCTCTCAGCGGCCATTGATTGCCTGTGGCTCTTCATCTAGAGGGTGGAGTCTGGTGAGCTTCTCCTCATCCACACTGCCATATCTATTGATGAGGTCATGCAGGGCTTGTATGCAGCCATATTGTTAGGGTTTCATGGGCATAGCATCTCAGCCACGTCTAGAAGGCAGTAGCAGCTAGTGTCCTGGTCCTCTGTCTCCTACTCTCTCCCCTCTTCTCTCCTGTAATATCCCCAAGTCTTAGGTGGATGGGTATTGTAGATACAGTAATTGGGCCAGACTCCCTATGGCCATTAATTCTCTGCGTTTTACCAGTCGCGGGCTTCTCTCCTTTATTTCAATATCCTTTCCACTTTGCGTTTCTCTTATGCCATTAGCGTTCACTTTTGACTAATGTGTTATTTCTAGTGCAGTTTTTTCCTTGTAAAATGACTCAAACTGCTCAATCTTTGATGAGGTCCTCTCATTTCACAGCTGGATTTATTTAATACTAGTGTTTTTTGCACAAATTAATTAATAATTAGTTTTATTTTACACTTTATTTTCATTTCTTTTGAGACAGGGTCTTATGTAGCTGGAGCTGGTCTCAAAAACTCACTGTGTGTTGTTGAAGATGCCCTTGAACTCCTGATTCTCCTGCCCCCAACTTTTGAGTGCCGAGATTACAAATGTGGCCATCATTCCCAGTCTATGCTATGCCAGGCCTGGAGCCCAGGGCTTCAAGCATGCTAGGCAAGCCCCAATGGAGCTACCCCCTCTATGCTACAGCAGAGGCATCTCCATTTCCTTTAGAAAAGAGGGAACAGATTCTTAAGAAGGAAGCCACCACCTCAGAGTCTACCAACTGGTTTGAGAGACAGATTTCAAGTCCAGGGTATAGATTCTGACGTTCGTGTTAATCTCACAAGCCACTGTGCTGTTAACTCTTGCAGTCCACGGCTCTCCCAAGGGAGCGTTTACAAAGGCTGAGATTGGGATGTAGTGCCCGTAGAGAATGTGAGATGGTAGGACCTTCCTAAACCCCTAGAGGTGATAGCTCCTTCCATGGCTTTCTCTCTGGTCTCTACCTGGAACCGTGAGTCTGATTCAGGTGTCCTTGTTTTCACCCTGGATTAGGGAACCCTGAAAGGTGCTGGAAATCTCAGGGTGCCTGCCGCGAAGAATGCACCAAGAACGAAAAGTTCTACATCTTGTGCTGGAGTGGCAAAATGTGCTGTGTGAAGCCCCAGAAGGTGCCGCAGCTGTCCCAGGATTTGGACTAGCCCTGTAAAGCCCGAGGTGACAGAAATGAAGGTGGACCCACCCAGAGTCTCACCTCGCCTGTTTCCCGAGCTTCATTAAAGCAGCGTTGTCTGACTTCCGTGTTTGCCTCTTTGTGTGCGTAGCCAGACGTCAGCAGAAAGCACGTGGTAAAAGGGTGCATTCGTGCGTTTAGTTCACCTTTCCTAGGAGCTCTGTGTCTGTGGGGCTAACTAACTGCGGGGAACATATTCAGAGCAAGTGTCATCTTTACTGGTGCAGGCTACCTTTTCGCGTTGTTTGTAAACGATATATTCAAGAACTATATGCATGGCATTTATACTGTATTAGGAATTACAAGTAATCTAGACATGATGTAAGTATAGTCATTCCTCGTGGTCTGTGGTTCTGCAATCCCTGAAAATGCCAAAATATGTGTACCCCCAATTCTCTCACATACAGTATTATACTGTTTGTGTGTAACCTATCCACACCCCAGGTGCCTAGTTTCTTTAGTGTATATTGATTGTGCAAGATTCTGGACTTTATTGTGACATTTTCACCTGGCATACAGTATGTTTTCACCCTCACTTATTTCTTACACTTTTACTCCTTTTACTTCCCTAATAACCTTTTTTAATATATGTGTCGTTTTTATTTTCTTCTTATGATTCCACACACGAGAGAAAGCCTGTTTGTCTTCCCAAACCTAGCTTGTTTTCACTTAACAAGACAATCTCTCCTGCTTCCCGTTCTCCTTTAAATGAAATGGTTTGATCCCCCACGATTGACAAACACTTCATTGTCTATGTAGTCCATAGCCCACCCCCACTTCCTTACGTTTGGTTTCTGACATAAGATCTTACTCTGTAAGTGAGTTCAGGCTGCCCTGGAACTCACTCTGCAATTCAAGGTGCCTTGAACTTATGGCACGCCTCCCGCTTCAGCCTCCGAGGTGTGGCGATTGCCAGTTTGAGTCACTAGACGTGACAGGTCCACAGGCTCTTCCTCCATTCCTACGATGTCTTTGTGACTGAGCTACCACAGCTGGGGCTGTGGCTCCATGTTGTCTCGCCTGTAAAATCCTGACCGAAGAGTTTTGCTGTTTGGTGCTGATGCTGTAGTAGAAGCGCCAGCTCTGGAGAGCTCCCCTGTCAGCCACCTGGTCTGACCTTGGTGTTAACACAGCTCACTAGCAACAACAGTGTCAGGGCCACATCCAACCATGAGAGGACCAGAGTGCCACCCTGCACTAGGCTTAGGAGCTCAGAATTACCATATAACAAAAGCCCTGAGAGTGGCTGAAATTCCAGCTCTGTCTGCCTGTACGCGGGAGAGAACTCTGGAGGCCATCTCTAGTTGGTATTTATTTAACAGCCATTTCTTGAGTATTTTTCAAAGGTTATGGAGCTTGTTTTAAAATGCTTGTTTTGCTGGATGTGGTGGTAGCCCTTGGGAGGTAGAGGCAGGAAGATCAGGAATTTCAGGCCAACAGGGCCATTGAGACATTGTCACAAAACAACCAGACCCAAGAAATGGCCGGGAACTCTCAAGTCCTTCCCCTTCCCAGCATCTTTGTCCTCGGCCCACCGGCAACTGGATATAAGTTGATTGTCTGCTTCTCTATTTTTTCTATTTGCTTTTACAGTGGTTGGGCAGTTTTTATGGGTCTAAGTTAGAAAAGTCCGCACCTAGAAGAGGAAAAGCATTATCTGCCCCAGGAGGTCAGTGGCTGCTTCTGGGGGAAGAAGACAAAGAAAGTACTAAGGAGTGAAGTCTCCGGTTGGGGAGGCTGACATGGTGATAGGAAGACAGAGGAGGACGGTCAGAGGGCCAGGGAGTGTAAGAAAGTGATAATCTCCGGAATGTGCCCAGATAAAATGTTAGCATCTTTGTCTCCCATCTTCCACAGGGCCCCAACAATTACTCTGTGTCCACTCCAGACACAAAAAAGGGTGGGGTGGCCTTGAATTCAATTCTGGGTAAGCAATCTGAGCCTTAGACTTTCAATGCTTTTCAATGTCCAAATTGAATTTGAAGATGTGCAGTTAGGAGTCTGTGTCTCTGACACTGGGTCTGAACTACACTGACAAGGGACTTAAGCCAGGGGGACACTAGGGAAGGAGAGGGACCAGCAGCAGAGAGGCCGAGGAGTGAGGAAGGTGAACTCTGATTGCTAGTGGTGGCGGTGGTTAGCTTCCAGGGCCCTGGCTGTCCTAGAAGGTTGGTCTTGAACTCACGAAGACCCACCTGCTTCAGCCTCCTGTGTGCTGGGATTAAAATGGGGGGCAGTCAGGTCAGAGTCTTCAGCACCTTCTTTAGTGGGATACGATTGTCTTTGCTACAAACACACAAAGGGCAGATGACTCCCAGATGGAAAGGACGCCAGAAGCCGAGTTTGAAGGAGAGCCCATGGCCACTGAGCCAACAGTGCTACCAGCTTTGCCCGAGCCAGGTCTAGCATAGCTGCCTTGGACACAGCAACAAAGGCTGACTATCGGGGTACCATTACTCTTGGGGAACTTTCAGGCTAATGCTTTCTAAAATGTCATCCCTTGGCCACATGTCTCATTGTACCCTAGTCCTAGCCAAGGGTGACTCCCCCCTCCTTTTGCCATGCTGGGTATGAAACCCAGGACCCTTGGCCTACCTCACACTAGGCCATAGTGTGAACTATGACTTGGGCCCCAGACAGCAGCTTCTCTCACTAAAGACAGGTGTTCTTGTCTTTAGACCAAGACTGGTGTGTATTTTTTCTTACTTTCTTTTTATCTGTTCTTTGTGTCTTTCACATCATGTATCTCAATCCCATTCATTTCCCCGTCCCTTCGCATCTGCCCTCTGCCCTTGCAACCCCTCTCCCCTAGAAAGTAAAATTTAAGAGGAAAAAAACGAAAAGAGGAAAAACCTCGCCATAGAAGCTGCAGTGTGACACAGTGAGTCATGCAGTTAACACTTTTGTCCTCATACCTTCACTTGCAAGTGTTACTGGTCTGCTCGAGGCCTCTGGTTTCTGCTACACTATTGATGCTGGGTGCTAGCTGGGACTCCTCTTGGGTATCCTGTTGTTGCCCTGTGTCGTGGAGATCCTGCAGCTTTGGATCTCCAGGACCAGTCCCTTCATATGCTTCAGCAGCTACAGACGGGGTGGGCCAACTCATAACCCTGGTTCTGGTCCTGGATAGCTTCAGGGTTGGATCCCACCAGCTCTCCCGTGACCTCACCACCAGGGTGAGCTCTCCAGCATTGCCCCAGCTAGTTCACCCTTCCCCCACAATAAGCAAGGGGTGGGGCTAGTTCTCCTGCTTTCATACCCTCAGGGTTAGCTCCTACACCTGGGCTGTCAGGGTCAGCTCTGCTGTGTTGCCCAGGTGAGGTGTAGGGGCCACTCTCCTGAGTGCTGCAGCTGCTCTTAAGACTTCAGGGTCAGCTCTTCCACCTCCTCAGGCAGCGAAGAATAGGAATGGGGAGGACATCTCTCCCCTGCCCACACCACCACTTGGCAGATGAGGGGTGGGGCCGGATTTCTCACGTTCACGTTCTCAGGGCTGGTTCACCAGTACCCCTGTCAATAGCGTCAGCTCTGCTGTGCTGCCCAGGTGAGGGCTGCAGCTGGTAAGTCAACTCCCTCGCCCACCACAGGTGGAAGGGGCAAGGAAGTAGGGCGTCGTTCCCTTGCCCTCTCCACCAAGTGGCAGACGCAGGGGGTGTGGTCAGCTGTTCCACTCTCCTACCCTCAGGGCCAGCTCACTGGAGCCTCTGCCAGCTGGGTCAACTCCACCATGCTGCCCAGGCGAGCAGCAGGGCCCACTTTCCCGAGAGCTGCAGGTGGCAAGGGGCGAGGGGGAGGAGGGCGTCTTTCCCTCACCCGTGCCACCACATGGCACACGAGAGGGGCACTACCCGCTCTTAAGATTGGTGTGTATTAAGACTATAAACGTGTGTTTACTGTATTTTTTTTTTATAAAATAGTGCGGAATAGGGACAAACTAAGAATTTAGCAGAGGGGCAGAAGATAGCTTAGTGGTGTTCACAGCACTTGCTGCTCTTGCCGACGTCCTGGATTCCAATCCCAGCATTCACATGCGAGCTCACAACCCTCTGGAACTCCAGCTCCAGGGGTTCAGACACCCTCTTCTGGCCTCTTCTGGTGCCAGGCAAGCACACAGTGCACTTACATATATTCAGGCAAAACACACACATAAAACAAACACAAACAGATCCTTACAAGACTGTTATGTAGCATTTGCCTGGGATTTTTCTCTACTTTGTTTGAGTGGGCATCGTGAAAACATCATTCTTTCCTGCTCTGTCTGAAGGAGAAGTCAGACCTTGTGTTCTAAGTGGCCTTCCTTTTTTAAATGGAAAACTGAAAATGTGTGTATGTGTGTGTATGCGCGTGTGTGGTGCGTGTATGTGTGCGTGTGTATGTGTGTGCATAGGCGTGTTCATGCGTATGTGTGTGTGCGCACGCGTGCACATGTTCCGGGAGCAGACAAGAAGACTGTTCCTTGCCTGCCCACTGTCTTCGTTAGGAAGACCTAAGCACAAGGAAGCCAACTCAGGTGGATGTCTTCTCAGGCATGACCGCCTGATCAGGGATTCTCAAAGAGGAATTGTCTGCTTCAGGTTGTCCTGTGGGCTGTGGCTGCATCTGTGGGGGATGCCCTTGACTGATGTGGAAAGACCCATCCCAAATGTGGATGGCATGGTCTGGTAACAACCCAGATTGAAAAAAGGAAGGGAGAAGGAAGGTTGTTTGCTGTTTGCTTTCCTGGCCTTCCCTCTCTCCACCAAGTTAATTTGCCCATCGCTGCTGCTGACTCCCTTGCTGACATTGGAGACAGCTTCTTCTGCCTCCAACACGGACTGAAGAAACCCACAAGGCCTTTGGTACTAGTGGTCACCCAGCCTTGTGGGCCAAGCAACTACTGGCTTCTCACCGTCTCAGCTGCAAGGCAACTACTGTTGGATACTTGCCACCATATTTTGTAATTCAATATAATAAATCCACATCTAAAAG